AATCAGCTGCAGGAGCCGCCAGCTGAGCTCTACGCTGCACTAGTGCTGTGGTGGGAGAGAGCGAGGTTCCAGCCAGCCCTGGGGACTGCACAGTGGCACCTGACTGAGGAATTGCTGCTGGATCAAACTAACCATGCAGACCAGTGAGAGGGACAGTGGCACAAGCTGTCTAATTTACAGTGATTCAGTAAACCAGTTTGAATTGATGAGGACTTGACTGTAGAAATTTTGGGGTGGCTAGTTCAGGTAGGGCGCTCCCACTTTAATCCCCATATCATCCAAGTCTGCTAAGAACAAATAAAACTTCTTGGAGATTCTGACATGCTATGTCTACTTACACAATGGATCATACAATTAATAAATGGGAAAATTGAAGGGATGTGCAATTAAGGTAGTAGGATGTCTTATTCTTTCAGCCTAGTACACCAGGGGTCCAGCCCATGTACATTTTCCTTTTCTATTGACAACTTAATTTTTTTTTTTTTAATTTTGAAATTCTGTCTCAGCCCTTAAAAATGCTTATTTTACCAAAAAGTGAAATATTTCTTTTTGGAGGTTTAAATATTGTGTCTTGAAATCTTTATATGTGTTTTCTGGTTTTGACTTGAGATAGTTAATTTTCTTGACCGTAGGTGGTATAGGGCTGTGTTTTGGATTTGCTGGAAATAGTGTTGGTAACTTTGTTGGATGTTTTAGCTGTCACTGAGCAGTGCTCACACAGGGTTAGGGCCTTTTCTGCTCCTCACCTCACCCCACCAGGGAGGAGGTTAGAGGACGTAAGAAGCTGGGAGGGGACACAGCTGGGACAGTTGACCCTAAGTGATCCCAGGGATGTCCCATATGGCATCATGCTCAGCAGATGAATCTGGGGGAAGAAGGAGGAAGGAAGGGACATTCAGAATGATGGTGTTTGTCGTCCCAAGTCACCAATACATGTGATGGAGCCCTGCTGTCCTGGGGAATGGCTGAACACCTGCCTGCTCAGGGAAGCCTGCTCAAAAGCTTGTTTTGCTTTCCTGGTGCACACAGCTTTTGCTTTCCCTATTAAACCATTTCTATCTCAACCCATGAGTTCACTCACTTTTACTCTTCCTGTTCTTTCACTCATTAGACTGTGGAATGTGAGTGACTGGATAGGGCTTGGTTGCAAGCTGGGTTTAAACCACGACTATATATATATATGTATATGTATGTATATAATCTAAACCAGTTGGAGTGTTTTTCCTGCTCCCCATCCTCACCTGAGACATCTCTGGTGGGCTTCCTTGCTGGCTATATGCCAAGGCCTACCCTGGTCCCGCAGTTTTCTGTCTCCACTTTGTGCACTGACCTGCCTGCTTTTGTGTTAGGTCACAGGGCTGGGCAGCAGCATGCTTTGTCAGCAGACGAGGGGTGCTCTCTGGGGTCGGGGCCAGGCCAAAGCACAGGAAACACACCAAGGAGCATGAGAGGAACTGTAAATGACTCTCTATTTGCATCAATTCTGTTTGTGCAAGCAGCTGCTAGACATACTTCCCCCTGGAAAGGCTGGTATTTGCGGTGTTACCGTGTGACTAAAGAGTGTTACTTTTTAAAGACATTGATGGGATTTCTGGTGAAGCTGCAGCCCACCATTGCACAGGCAGAAGAGACCTCCACTCTAGCACTAACCTAGAGGTGGAGTCCTGAACTGTAGTGCCATGTTTCTCCTGTCTTTGTCTGTCCAAGTGTTTTTAATAAGGGATGATTTTTCAGCCTGAGCACAGCAGTAGACAGTCTGAGTTTCCTGGAGCTGAGCTGCCATATAGGAACTGTACTTCTGGCTCCAGAGTTAGGATGAGTGGGGCCAGCTCAGATATCTCCAGTGTAGTGTACAGGTCTAAATCTTTAGACTTAACCCCTGTGTTCACAGAGTACAGCCATTGAGATGTCATCTCTGGATGAGAGGGGCCAGCTGTTGTCTCTGGTAGTCAGCAAGATATCCTTCCGAATAGGAGAAGGTTCACCTAATATTTTCAGAAATATTACTACTTCCATTAAAACCCAATCTTGCAGCATTACTCAGATTAAGAGGAAGATTTTGATTCCTGGCTGTGAAGTAAGGAACATGAGACCACCCTTGTTGGAGAGAATGTTTCCACCATGATACCCCAGAGGCTTCCTTTCCTCTTTTCCAGTGTCCAGGGTTGTAGCTCAGTGGTTATTGAGTGACTGATGGATGTCATGTCAGCCTTGGTTCACTGCACCACCAATGTGGTGTAGATGTGTAGAGAGACCTCAAACTCCCTGGTTGTGGCAGAAACTATAAAAGGGCAACAAGTCAAAGGCATTTGTGGGCTTTCTGCCCACCAGGATCTTATGGAAATGTAGGGTTTTACCTTGCTTTTGGAGGCTAGTGTGATACTGATATATTTTCTTCTGTGAAAGCATTTTTCACAGTGCTTAGATTCATGCATGAAATCATCTTTATCCATTTGAAGGAGCAGTCTGATCAGTCCCCTTCATTGATGGGAACTGAGAAGAAAACAGCTCTTTCCTGACTATTTAGAGACAGTACTTCAAGGTTGTTCTCGTAAACATGTAAAAATCATTCATCCAAGAACTTTCAGTAAACTGCCACTTAAAAAAGGAGAGAAGCACCTCTCTTTGTGTTGTCCTTGGTGCTAAAATGCAAGAAGTCAGCGGCAGGTCTGAACTCCAGCATGGTCCCTCTTACATGAAGACTTGAGTGCCAGGCCAAGGGCACCATTCAGCAAGGAGCACCGATGTAGGGTTTTGTAAAACTACAAGAGAAGGTAAAATTTGGCTGGGTATATCCATGCCATATTTTGGTTAGGGTTTTCCAGTGATTTCTGACTGATGATGTTGTGAGCAAGAACAGACTTGGGCACAGAGCGACACAGAGAGATCTACAATACAAGACAGTCAGATGTCAAATTCTCCATCCAGTTTTGTGAGGCAAGCCTGTGTACATAACCAGGCCTATGTGTAACCAAAATATTAACATATATGGAATAGGTGTTATGATTTTGGCTGTATGATCTAATTCGAAATAATTAAATTAATTATGTTGTTTTTAGAACTACTTTCTCATCTCTAGGGCTATGAATGTCATTGCAATCATAACTAGAATTGTTTTTTATAATGACCTGTAAGTTTAAGTGGTAAAATTTACACAATCCTCCATAAACAAAAATCACCAAAGCAGATTGCTAACTTTTGATCCGGAACTCTATCACAACAGTTGTGCCGTAAGGTGATGTGGAAACCATGGGTTTAAACTTGGTAGGCTTTTATCAAATTGGCCTGGAAAGTTTAAATCCAGGCCTGTATCTAAAATTCAGTTCAATCCACGTTACATCTTCTACCAGGTTCCTGGATGATGAGGCTTCTTGACCTAGAAATCTACATCTGATTTGCTAGTGAGATCTTAAACCAATACACAAATCAATCACAGGCATTATGAGGGAAAAGTGTGGGTTGAGTGGAAATGTAGGGACACGTTTTTTATATTTGGTTTAGTTTGTTAGAAAACATTATGTTCTTGACTCTTGGTCAATTAAAAACATAAAATAATGGAACATGATGGAAATTTACAATTCAGACCTTATTCTGTATTTCTTGTAGAAATTTCTTGTGAGTTTTAGAACAAATAATAAATAAAATATCAGAATTGTACTACCCACTTTTCTAAAATCAATTGCTTAAAATATCTTCGAGTCTAAACAACCATGATGCAATAACTCTAAGAAATGGGCATGTGCAAATGTACAAACTTAGAACTTTCATTTAAACTAAGGAACTCTTTGGCTTCAGCTAGCAAGTGTCTGGGTTTTGTTAATCAGATTCTTCTTGTATTCTTAAAATTGTATTTGTAGTCAGTTTCATTTGAATATGTTTTTGATTTGTCCAAACAGCAGATGGATATGATAGAGTCTTTATTTAACTTGGCACTTTCCATTCCACATTCCTTTACTATTCATAGTACAGCAGTAATACCCATCTCCAGTAGACATAAAAGGAGGCAGTTCAACTTGCAGCTGCAGTTCCCCTCAAATGTGTGAGTATTTACAAACTCACAGCATTATTTCTTTTTAATGTTGAGAAGACCAGATACTAGATATAGTGGGTGGATATTTTTTCATCTCTGCCACTCTCATGAAATGTGAGATGCTGGAAAACAGAAACTAAACCTGTCTCTGTAGTAAAAAGAATCCCTGCACTTGAAATTAGATTCATGGAGAGCCCATGTTCTTAGGAGGAGAGTGGGACTATACATAGGCAGAAAAATTTGCTCTTGAAGAGAGAGTTGTGGAATCTCAGCCTAAATTGTCAAACAACATGAAGAACAAAATATTCATCTGATTGAACAACAAGACTACCTAAAATGCATAAGAATAAAGGCATTTGTGTAAGAGTAATGTCTTTTTATTACCAGGGTTTCACAAAGAACTTGATCCTTTAGAGCATTTGTAAGCAAAATTTTTTTTCTTCAGTTGATAATGTAGTGGAATATGTTAAACAAAACCAATTTTCTAAAATGTCTTTAAATGTTTTCTTTGAAAATAATTTGTCTTTGACAGAAAGTGTAATTTCTACTTACTGTATTTTCAAGCAAATATAGTCAGTGATTATTCTTTTTTCTTATAGTTTCAAATATGCAACACACTTCCAAAAAATAATCTCTCAAGACTTATTTTGGCATACAAGCTTGAACTGTGGAAATGCAGATTTTTTTTCTCAATAGTATTTTTCAGTTTGTGTGCTTTTCCAAAGGGAAGAATTTAATTTCAAAAATTAGAAAGCAAATTTTTTGGTACATAAATTAAATTTCTATAACTTGTTTTGCCCACACTCAAAACTAATGTATAACTTGTCTATTGCTTCTTTAATGTTTATGACTATGTATGACAAATGCTTATTTCTTTAGAAATACAACTTCTCCTACTTAACTTAAAAATATATTTTATTTTTTAATGTATTATAAACCAGATTTTTTTTCCTGCTGAGACTAGCCTAAGTTTGCTACTGTTCAAAAAGCGTGGCTTTCCAGCATATATGTAGCTGGAAGTAAGCAGTCTAACATTCACATCAAACAATAAACTCAGCATACCGAAAAACATATGCAAAGGTTTTTTTTTACCGTAACATAAATACAGCCACATGCTTACCACAATCTACAGCGTTGCATAACTGATATTACTTTGTTATATTTAGCATGATTTATCTCACCAATAACTATAGAAAAGGTTCTAATTCTTTCCCACTGAGTTCTTCATTTCAACAACCAAAATGCCATCGTGGCAGAAAAGTGCAGACAAGTCTTTGTTCTCTACCCCATCAGGTAATTTGTACTGTCTGGTAAAGCTTCTGGATATGAAACCATGTTCATCCATCCTCGGTCCATGCTGAGCTTTAATCAGGAGCCAGCCTTCAAAAGTCTGAATAATGATATCTTCAGGACGGAACTGCACAACGTCCAGCAAGACCTGGAAGCGCGTGTTTTCCTCCTCCTGGCCACTCTTCCCTGCCCCAGCCGTGCTTTCCGTGGTGCACTTTTGGTTGCTCAGTGCTGCTGTAGCAGGGCCTGGCAAAGCATATAAAAGGTGGTTCAGTTTGTATGCTTCCAGCTCTTGGTCAGCAAACTGCTCCTGGTAGCGTACAGGAGTTTCCACCCAGTGTCTTGTAACAGCTTCTGCCATGGCTGAGGCAGAAAGATCAGCTGCTACTCCTGCTGCCCTGGGGAAGCTGCAGAGTCAGAGTGAGCCCTTCCCAGCCGTATGTCTCACCCACAGACTAGTCTATCAGTGGATGTCGCCTTTCACTTTTAGAACAGGCAGAGCTTAACATTTAATACAGAGTCCCGTGCTCCAGTGCTGGGAGACTTGTTTCGTCTTTTATCCACTAACAATAGAGCACTATTTATAGTGCTGACATCTTGAGTGGCTTCAACATATGCACAGCTTTCATGCATTAGTAAAAGCAAAACTTGAATGCACCTCAGATTATTGCAATATTGTACTCTTTATCATTATAAATAATGAGCACAAAAATAACACAAAATAGTTTTTAATTTAAATGGAAGTTTAATAATTTTGCTTTTTGAAGGAACATGTCAATAAATACAACCTGTATTTCTTCTAATAGAAATACAGAGTTACTGAGGGAAGAGATTTAATTAACAGCAGAAATGGATAACATTTCAGGTTATGTAAACTGTAAAATTATCAAATGCATTGGACGTTGTTGCAGAAGTTGTGCATAGGTGAATTTGTGGTTAACCATGTTATTGGTGGAAGGAGGGAACCATAACCATAAGTACCCCTGCCCAAAAAGGGCAAGCCTGAAGCGCTGAGTCTGCAGTCTTAGTGACTTACAAACACAGCAGAGCCTTTTCCAGCATGTCAGGGAGTCAGGCACAAGACTGCAGGGAGACTTGCAGTGAAAGCTCATGTTTAACAGCTTCCAAAGGAGGGCAGAGTTATTTTTTCCCCAGTAGAACAATAAAGACAATTTCAAATCCTTAATGCTATCACATTGCCCCAGTAATCTTCGTATTCTGGTGCTTAACAGCTTGCACCCATGATCCCATCTACTGCATGTGTCTACAGAGCAGGACTAATGACCTCTAAGGCTCTCTGTGGTGTAATTATGGAATCACAAAATGGTTGGGAATGGAAGTAACCTCTGCAGATCATCTAGACCAACCCCCGCCCCCGGCAAAATCAGATTCACCTAGAACCAGTGGCACAGGATCACATCCAGGTGGGTTTTGAGAATCTCCAGAGAAGGAGACACCACAACCTCTTGCTTGTAACCTTCTTGTTACTCTCTGATCGCAGGGCAAATAATGCCTACAAGGGTAAATAGCTAAGAGAAAAGTGCAGTGAAAAGGGAAAAGCATTTCTAAATTTTAGCAGGTTTGCTAGCAAACCCCTCTAGCTGGGCTTGGTAATGTAAAGCAGAATGTGTTGTGGCAACTGATAGTGAAAATTGTTTATTTAATTTATTAGTGCAACAATAGTTGCCCTAATGCTAGAAATAACCAAAGAAGATACTTTTATTCCTTCTTGTTTGGCTATTCTTGTTTAGAGTTCTATTTCTTGTCCTTACATGTTCCATTACCATGAAAATGGCAAGTCAATTCAAGTGGGATTTTTGGTTCCTAATGGAGTAATGAAGAAAGAAGCAATTAAATTTCGATACTTATCAGAAATTAACTTCTTTATTGAGTTCATAGCAGAACAGGATTACCAGACATATCTATAATTAAAGCTCTATGTTTGCTATCTTATTTTAAACCCATAAAGGCTACATTGCAAAGTAAGGAAATTTTCAAAAGTTCAAGATAACTTACACTAATGCTCTTAATCAAGTATTGTGAGAAATGAGAGTTATACTACTTTATTGGCTCTTCTCCTGTTAAACTGCTCTCCGGAAATAATTTTAAAATGCTATTCTGGATGTTTGACTGACTGAAATTATAATAAAAACAACCTGGAGCATTGCCTGTTATCTGTTCATCAGTTGTTTTCTGTTTTGCTAGCAAATTATTCACTTGGTGAGGAAAACTTTAACCCTGCACTGAAGCAGTATGCATGGCTGATTCTGATATTATGCTTAAACATACTGATGAAAGCTATTGCTGTTCCTACTGAATTCTGTGATGATAGCCTGACTTATTCCTCTTAAGTTTTACACTTCATTAATAAATACACTGTGGAGGAATATAACTTTTTTTTTTCTTTAAATTTCATTTTAATTATTCCTATCATCTCTGGAAAAAGGTAACCTCCCCATTCCTTAACTTAAAACAGAAATCCCCGTCTCAGTGCAAGTCACTGTGGGACAGCTGTATCTATTCCCAGAAGCAGCTGCGTTAGTCTTTCAAATGTCTACGTTAAGTGTACTTGGAACTCTCTGTCTGGTTTAATTAGCACGAAAGATGCTTTGAATACCCTTTAAATTCATGTCATATGCAAAATGCTGCAGAAGTTCATAAGATCCCTTTCTACTCCATATGATAAGGAATCAGAAAGATTTTGGAAGCAAAGCCTTCCCATCCTGCCCTCTCCTCTGTTCCAGTCCCTTTTCTCAGTTTGTCACTGGTGGGCTCAGGAATTAGCATCATGCTTCTTACCTCTTTGTTACAAACATGGGGAATATGACAAGTGGAAAAGAAAACACCCTTGAAATGCAAACATCGATTTAGAGTATGTTTTTGGGCTCTCAGATTTAAACATGTTTGCGGTGCTGCAATACTGAGGCACTTCTGATGCTTATGCTGCTGTACTCTCCAAGTATCTATAGCAGGATTTGGTTCAGCAATGCATTTTAATAATACGTGATTACTGTGGTAATTTTAAACCTTCAGAGTTGATCCGTCAGGAGCGGGATCGATGTTCTATATCTCCCAGGGTGATGCCCCAGGCTTTGTTTCCTGGTTTTACTGTGTACACAAAGGCCTCTCTCCATGCTGCTCACCGAGCAGGAATCCAAGGGCTGGCATGACAAAGTAGTGCAGAGCAGCCTTGCAAACTCGTCGCTGCGGCCGTGATCTCGCTAGGCCCTGCTCTCTCTCGCTGACTACACGTGTTCATTGTCTGCCTGTCTCCTGCGGGGTTTGGAGGTCGGGACCGGGATCCGCGGGATGCAGCCGGCCGGGAGAGTGCGGCGCCGGGATCAGCGGGGCACAGCGGCATCTCCTGGAGAGGACGGGAACAGCTGCGCGGGAACCGCCGGCACGGGCACCGCCACAGCCTGCGGAGCGCTGCCCTGGGAACGCGCCTCTGCGGGGGGAACTTACCGCGATTTAACTTACAGCGCGCTGTTTTCACGCTAGTGTAAGTTTTCAGCATTTTGGAAGGGGGTGGTGATGGAATAAATATTTGATCCATACATTCTGAGTTGCATCAAAAGCAGCGTGGCGAGCAGGTCGAGGGAGGTGATTCTCTCCCTCTGCTGTGGTGACACCCTACCTGGAGTGCTTCATCCAGCTCCGGTGTCCCCAGCATAAAACTGGGGCATAGATCTGTTAGAGCAGGTCCAAAGAGGGATATCAAGATGGTCACAGGGCTGGAGAACCTCTACTATGGGGACAGGCTGAGAGAGCTGGGTATTTGGAGTTGTTCAGCCTGGACGAGAGAAGGCTCCAGGGACACCTTATAGCACTTTCCAGTATGTAAAGGGGACTTTACAAAAGAGCTGGTTAGGAATTTTTGACAAGGGCATGTAGTGATAGGACAAGGGGGAATGGCCTCAAACTGAAAGAGAGTAGGTTTAGATTAGGTATTAGGTGCTGCTTAGGTGGTGAAGCACTGGAACAGGTTGTCTGGAGAAGGTATGGATGCCTCATCCCTGAAAATGTTCAAGGCCAGGTTGGATGTGGCTTTGAGCAACCTGATCTATTGGGTGGCATCTCTGCTCATGGCAGAGGACTTAGAACTAGATGATCTTTCATGTTTGCTTCCAATCCAAGCCTTTCTTTGATTCTGTGATGCTACAAAATATAGACAGCAGGCATCCTAGTGAAGTCGTATTGTAAACTGTAAAAATGTAACGTGAATAAAGTCATGAGAATAATGTATTTTGATGCATGTTTTAAAGAAAATCAGGTTCACCCTGCTTGACACAACTTTAAAATAATAGATTGCCCTGTCACAATCGTTGGTGTGCTTGACTCTGCAAAGAGAAATTTGTTTTTCTACTACCACTGAAATTCACTAACTGCTGAAAAGGGAAAAATGTGAAAAGGCTGGCAGGATGAAGTGAACAAGAATTCTCATAGCAGAAGCTAACAGGCTAAATTCAAATCAGTCATATAATTATCCAAATGAATTTAGGTGGAGTACTGCAGTTACTTTTACCGAAGCACCCAAGGATCTACTCATGATCTACTTCCTGTGTCATTCAAAAAAGATACTGCCTCTTCAGACTTTGCAATACATATGAAACCTAGGAAAGGGTAGGACGTAGTGAGTTTTACCAGTGCTGTCTGTTACACCTAATATAGGAATATAAGCTCTGTTGTGATACCAAAAAAGCTAGATAGTAAAATAAAATGTGAGATTGGAATGGGGTGACACATAGAGAAATTTGATGGTAAGAGTTCCACGCGGTATTTAATATATTTGTTCAGAGTGAGAAAATTACTGTCTCCTACTTCCATCACTTTGAGTCCATTGCTCCTTAGAGCTATGAGTTGTCCTTTTAGCTGAATTGTTAGATCTAGAGATATGTAAACTCTGAAGGAATCAATAATGTAACCACAAGTCCTGCAAGTGCCTAATCAGCAAATACTGAGTGTTTTGTTTTCAAGAAATATTGAGGGGTTTTGATTTTTTTTTGTGTGTGTGTTTTTTTTTTTTTTTTTAGGAATGTCTCATTTCAATCAAACATGCTGTTATATTGTTTATATTGGTCAGTGAATCACAACATAACTCTTTCTGCAGTAAGACTTCGTGCTGTGTTGTAAAAATTCTTGCAAATAGTAATGGCTGTGTTGTTAAATAGCCAGCTTTACTAAAAGGAGACTTCAGTCTGTGGGTCATGTCCTTCAAAACCTGGAAAAGGCTGGATCTGCCCAACCTCCTGGAAAATCTCTCCAGGGCACTGATGCTCTGTTGTAACTGTTAACTCAATCTCTTAATTTTAGGGACCTTAAGAAGTGGAAAACTAATCCCAGCCTTTGCACTAAGAATTGTTTGCTGATTTTTTAGGAAGCAATGTAAGAAATATAGGTAATAATGGAATGGACTATCATTTTTACATGCTACAACTACCATTAGAAGATTTTTTTTACATGTTAAGGTGATAGAAGAGCAGATGAAGGATGAGGATGGAGGATGACA